CAACTGCATTTCTGAAAGACTCCTAATGAACATGTTTCACTTTAAGGGTTCAAATTTACACATGTAGGTAATTGGTAATAAACTAAACACCAAGAAGATTATAGTGTCTTGCTAAAGTATTCATATCCGTTGCATCTTTTCCAATTTTGCCAAATGAAATCCAAATGCCTTTGTTCTATTTATTTGCTTTTTTTATACGATTAAACTTCCAGAGTTGTGCAAGAAAACATGTTTTAATTTGGGAATGAAAATTATTCAAACGTTGGTTTTTAGCAAACATTCTTCTTCCGGTCTGATGGAGCTTCAGCTATTTTCTAAACGTTCCCACATGCTCTTAATTGATTTTATGAGTTTCTCTGGATCATTGTTATATTATGTATGAATAAACACTGAACTATATCATTGCATTTGTGCTCTGGTTGAATGTTTATGCTCTATATCAGGCTGGAAGGTCAACCCTTGCCCTCAAGTCTTCTGCAGCCTTTAGCATGTTTTCTTCCAGTATTTACCATGTGTTTAACTCCATCCATCTGTCCATGTTAAAGAAAGCATCCCTAAGGCATAATGCTGCCACCACCGTGTTTTAATTGAAATTTCAGTTTTCGTCAACACCTAGGATTTGGTTTTTATGATTTCTAGCTAAACTAGACCTCTGCTGCCTCTCTTTGCCTGTTTTCTCATTAATCATCTCCCTCCCTGCCCTGTTATTTTTCTTATTTGATATATTTTGGTAGGTTGGGCTGTGCTCTCTGTTTTCAGGTAAAGATTTATGGTTAATGATGCTCTAGGTTTTCTAACAAACTTCTGAGGCCTAAACAGAACAAGTGGGTTTATAGTGAAATTAAATTAGTTACTATTAAATTAGGTACTATCTAAACGCAACTTGTTGTCTATCAAGTTAAAAGGAACTGAATAGGAATTTACTCTTTGTTTCATATTCATCGAACAAAATGTTGAAAATCAAGAATATATTTTTCCTGCTCACTGATATGCAGTAAGTACATCCTGTTATTTTATCACACTATACTAAATAAACTAAAAGATACCTGATTTTACTATGCATAGACTCTTTCACTACTGATACTTTTCGTCTCCCGCTTTATTCGGGACTAGTTCTTGAGGGCAACAGTCTCAGTAGAGACTTTTCAGACCCTTTCCGCAGACACTTCCTCCAGCTCTGCTGGGGGAAGCCCGATTAGTTGCCAGGCCAGCTGGTCACATCCCTTTCTAAAGGGATGTGTCCAGAGGAAGAAAGATGTCTGAGGCACCTCAGCTAACTCTCCTCGACGTGGAGGAGAACCTGCTCTTCTCTGAGCCCCACCTGAATGACTAATTCTCATCCTGGCCTCTTCACATTCAGCTGAAAACCATCCAAGTGCATGCTGTAGGTCTTGGCAGGAGGTAGCCAGCAGAACCATGTCATTCGCAAAAACCAGGGATGAGATTTGCTGGTCGCTGAACGAGACCACCTTCGGTCCTCGGCTGTGCCTTGAAATTCTATCCTATCCTATAAGCCTGAAGCACCCCCCTTAAATCACCATGAGGGACCCAGTCGAATGCCTTCTCCATGTCCACAAAGCACATGTGGACTTCTTGGGCAAACTCCCATGAATCCTCAAGCACCCTGCAGAGGGTGTAGAGCTGGTCCACTGTTCTTTGACCAGGATGAAAACCACACTGTTCCTCCTGTAGCTGAGGTCCAACCATCAGCCAGACTCTCTCCAGCACCCTGCCATAGGCCTCATCGGGGAGGCTGGGGAGTGGATTTCCTTATAGTTGGAGCACATCTTTTTTGTGCAGGGGAACCACCAGCCCAGACTGCCAATGCAGTGACACTGTCCTGAACCTCCATGTGATGTTGAAGAAGGGTGTCAACCAAGACAGCCTGACAACATCCAGAGCACTAAGGTACTTGGGACGGATCTCGTCCTTCCCTGAAGTCTTGCCAACATGGAGTATTTTTGACCACCTTAGTAAATTTAGCCTGGATCATGAAAAAAACGGCCCTGAGCATCCAGTCTCTTCTTCCACCATGGAAGGCATGTCAGCCGGATTGATTAGTGCCTCAACGTATTCCTTTCCCATCCAACAATGTCCTCTTTCAGGTTCAGCAGCTCTCCATTCCTACTGAAAGCAGTGTTAGCAAAGCACTGCTTTCCCATCCATAGACGTCAAACGTTTTGCCAGGATCGCTTTGAAGCCAACCGATAGTCTTTCTCCGTGGCCTCTCCAAACTCCTCCCAGGCCAGAGTTTTTGCCTCTGTAAGTGGCATGCTTGGCATCATGATACCCGTGTGCTGCCTCAGGAGTCCCGGAGGCCAACCAGGCTAGATTGGACTCCTTCCTCAGCTTGACAGCATCCCCTACCTGTGTCTACCAGAGAGTTTGGGGATTGCCACCACGACAGGAACCGCAGACCTTATGGCCACAGCTATTGACAATAGAGGCAGAGAAGATGGCCCACTCAGACTCCATGTCTCCAGCCTCCCCCGGAATCCCCAACATGAGACAGCTGATCTGGGGGAATACAAGCAGTCCCACCCCCACCCTCTCCGTGAAGGCCCGACTATTTCTAGCCGGTATCGTTCAGATTCCCACACAAGCAGGGGCTTCCTTCCCCAGTGAGGTGATATTCCACGTCCCTAGAGCCAGTCTAAGTGCCGGACAGTTGGGTGGTCAAGGCCCCCGTTCATGACTGCTGCCTGGTCCTCTTTGCACCGGTCCCTCACAGTTCCCACTGCAGATGGTGAGCCCACTGGGGGTCTTGCGTTACTCCTTTGGGCTGTTCCTGGGTGGGTCCCACAAGGATGAACCCAGCCACCAGACGCTCGCCGACAAACCCCAGCCCTAGGACCAGGGTGGGGTCCCTGCTCTGCTGTACCACCTGACGCAAGTGCCTCAATTTTATTGATTTTTTTTTTACCATCACGGGGCTTTGTGAAATTTTTATTTTCTCTATATTAAAACATTCATAGGATCTCTTAGACTGTTCTGCTGGATCATGTTAACGTTGTAACTACATCACCCCACAGATTTTCCAGAAATTATTTGAAACGAACATTTTCAAATTACTCCTTGCATGAAATACTCTGCACAGCTCATTTCTAGCATAAACACACGGTCACACACACATCTCTTTCGCTGAAACACAGTCTCACCTTTGTCTGCCAGTAGTGAGTAGCTGGCAGTTTTAGGGGGTTTCTCATTAAGCCTCATTATATTCATATTTAGCATTATTAGCCTGGTCAGCAACCTGGATCACACAAAGCAGAAAGGGATTAGAAATGTTTGAGGGATTGTTGGAACAGTCAACGCTGTCTTACAAAGAAGTCCAAGACAAGCTGGGAAGTTCCCTTCCTGATTTTCCTTTTTTACCAACCAACAAATACAGTAGCCCTTACGTCTGCAAAGCGCTGAGTATGCTTGGAAAGCAGACATCAAGCACAGCTTCAAACACGTGTTTGGGAGATTGAGGGAAAAGATATATCTTCAGGCATGTAGTGTGAAGTTTGCCAACAGCTGCAAGACTTATCCTTTTTTGGCCAAAGTAGAGTCTAAATTATTTTCCTTTCTTGTGCTTTTTGAAATGACTCACACAGGCTTCCCACAACAACAAAAATGCATGAATACATGCATCACCTGAAGCTGTGGGGCCTCCAGCTGATATAAGCCATGCCTCTTTCTGATCCGGTTTTCTGAGACAAATTTGCAGGGGTTTTTCCCCCTGTGTCCATACACAAAGCATGGCAGCTCTTTGGGTCATTTAAGGACTTAAAGCTTTACTTTGTTGGAGAACACGGCAGTTTCCAGTTAACGGATGAATTCTGATTTAGACGATTTTGTGATGGCGACAGTGCTGATTCAGTTCATCCCCAATTGGGCTTAAATGTTTGTGTTTATTATCCACTGGAGGAATCAAAGCAGAGATAATTGATTTTTCTATTGTGTACTGTCCAATAAATGCGTTCCTTCTCCTCTGTGTCCCACTCAACAGGTGTCCGTTCCACAGAGCAGAGGACTTAATCCAATGCACCTGCCTTCTTACGAAGCAAAGGAATTTTCTCCTTAGCCTAATCCTCCTGATAGTTTTTCAACAAAATCTTCCTCACATTTATTCCTCTCATTGTCACCTGTTTAATTTCATCCTTCGTTATTGCTTTCTTCTCCACAGCTAATGACTTTTCCATTTTACTGTGTGCAGGGAATTGCCTCCGTTCTGCAGCGCAGATCTGACAATGAAGAGTATGTGGAGGTCGGACGCCTTGGGCCCTCTGACTACTTTGGTGAGACTTTTCTAAATGTTCTTTTTCTCCTCTTCCTTATATTTAATTCCTTTCATAAATGAAATACTATATTTAATATAGATAAACACAGTGGAAAAGCCATATTTTTTTAGCAATAACTATTTGTTTTTATATGTTTTTTATTAAGCCCAGTTTAATAAAGTGATTAAAAAGTAGCTTTTGGTTCACCAAAGGCTGCTTGTAAATAAAAGTCAATGGATAGATGTCGCCTTATTCACTATAAAATTAAGGTTATGTTATTGAAGTACAAACACTTTCCACAGAATCTAAAACTCTCCAAAGCACAAGCAGAAAATCTAAACGCGGTAATAGTTTTACTTAAAAATAGAACGTTTCTATTTTTATCAACCACCTGTGCTGGTGGGTCAAATTCTTCTGTTTGTTTGTTTTTTTCTATTGCCAGTCAGTAGCCAATGACAAAATGACAGACACTGCACAAAATCTGCTACTTGAAATAGGCCAAATATTTTTTAATAGGATCAAAATACTTGTTTGAGAGAAAAACGGAATACATTTCTAAATCAGAGTTGTTAAAGTGGTCTTACTCTTACTCCTGGATCTTATCCAGAAATTGGATTATTTTTTCATTCTTTCATTGGAAATTCTAATATTATTCTAAAAAACTTCTGTTTAAGATGAGCAAAAAAATCTTATTAAAAACTTAGACATATTGTGAATACTGTGTACAAAAAACACCAGAAAAAACAAGAGATAATGTCACGGGAATCAAGGGTTTTTGCATTTTCGAAAATTTTTTTTTCCATTGGAATCAGTCCAGAGGCTGCAAAATGGCAGTTTGGATACCCTGGTTTAGGGCTTAACTATCTTGTTAAGGCTTCTTTGTTCACAATTATGTCTTATATTTTTTTAAATATAAGATTTTCTGCAAAAAACAAAAAAAAAAATTTATTTAGCTGTAAGCTATTATCATTGATATAAACTGGCAGCAGTCTCTTACAAGTAATACTCTGTGGAATAAATCTGTATATATTTTAATTTTATGAATTGCATTTCTGGAATAAATGAACCTTTTAGAAAGATTAAGATTGTCTGATATGTGATCCCCTCGGCTGCATTCAGGCGAGATCGCCCTGCTGCTGAACCGCCCCCGAGCAGCCACCGTTGTCGCCCGTGGGCCCCTCAAGTGCGTGAAGCTGGACCGACCCCGCTTTGAGCGCGTGCTGGGGCCGTGCTCTGAGATCCTCAAGAGGAACATCCAGAGATACAACAGCTTCATCTCCCTCACAGTGTGAGGGTCCCCTCCCACTCCACCAGCAGGGTGTGCACCATCATCAGCAGCATCACAGGTCTAGCGTAAGGGTTGGGAACTGGGGTGTGTGAGGACACAGTGTGGGAAACGGGGATTTTAAATCTAAATGACACAAAAAGCTTGTTTCCTACCTTTGATTCTTTCATTTATCGCTTTTTTTTTTTACTTGTGCACTTTGACTCTATCTTTGTCATGTAGCTTTATGTCATAAACAGCGCAGGAGCAGAAAAAAAGCTGAACAAGGACAGAAACCATCGAATTCATGAAGTTATGAGTCATGATGCACGTGGGGAACTCGTACAAAAATGGTGTTTGCACTTTGATGTATTTTAGAGAGCATGTGGATACCTTCAGGAATCACAGAGGAAGTGAGGTCATGTTTACGCACAGCGGGAGAAAGTGGCGTCACATTTCTATGCTCGCTGGATGTCGTTGCGTTTTAATGGATTTTATTTTCACCTCTACCTGTTGGTTGTATCATTTCTCTATCAAAACAGAAAGGCATTACACAAGTCTTTGTTCGCTGAAATGTACTGTAGTCAGACAGGTATGAAGAACACTTTTTTTTTTTTTGGCTGTTTTGTTATTTTCTTTGCTTCTAAAGGATGCTTTCAGTTCGGTTAACAGGTTGAAGGTCATTAAATGTAGCTTGGGACTGGTTTGTAGATTGTTTTTAAAACTGAAGTGAAACAATAATGAACGTTAAAATATCTTGAGTTAAAACTTGTACTGTCTGTGCATCGAGGGTGTGATATAGCTCATTGTTGCTTTTAGCTTCACTGGTTTCCGTATGCTTGCTGTTTTGGAGCCAACTTAGGTCTAAAAAGTCTAAAATAGACAATTTTTAACTCATTAACTTTAACGTTTCTTAATTTTTCCATTAAAACCTTCTCGCCTACTTTCTGCTGCTTCCAGCTCTCCCCTTAGAGGCGCACAGATCAGAATTTTTAAGGCTGATTTTCAAATTAAGCATTTGGGATGTTTAGTTTTACCCCCCCACACACACCATCTTGCTCAAATAAACATTGAACCTCATCCAGCCAGCCTTGTCAGAGATCCACTTTTTTAAATCTTCATAATTAATATTTTGACTGCAGATCCGGGCAAGTTCAGACTAGAAGCTATTTACCTGTAGCCATTTCTCCAACTTATAAAGATCTGCTCACATCTGCCTTAAGTCAGACACACTTAGTTTGATTCCAGGTATAGTCTTTAACATGTGACCTCCATAAATTAAAATATTTGTAGTAACGATGACACACTCTGGGATTAATATGCCAGACTGCTAAAATTTCAGCCGCTCTATAATTGGAAGGCAAGTTTTCTATGTAGAGTTGACTTAAAAGAAGGAGTTAAGGATGTGGAAAAGGAAAGATTTTTTCTTTAACTTTGAGAAATAGAAAAGTAATATTTGTTTTTTCCCTCATAAAAGTTTAGACACTGCTCGATATATACTGTAGGTTGTCTTTTTTTATAGAGAGAACTGTGTTCTCCCTTATTACTGGCCTTAAAGATTGGTTTTGGCACCTGGCTTCTGTGTCACCTCATAATAATTCCCCAGTGAAACAGAAAGACAGTGATTTCTAACTAAAACTTAAGGCACTCTGATTTTTTTTTTTTTTTACAATCTTTCACTGTTACATTATGCTAGTAAAATAAAAGTGGATGTTTTTGTAGACCTCTGTAATCGTGGTTTATAAAAGCACAACTAATAATCCTATAACTGAGTGGGTTGCATAGCTGAGCTATTTATCCTGATCAACATATAAAGTTTAAGAAGTTGGCTAAATAGAATAATTGGGGTGAGCCCAATTAAGCAGATCTTCTTTTATGATTATAATCTTTCCTCAGCCTGTGAAAAACTCCACCGTCACCAATGAGCGACATCAGACTTTTCACACACAGATGGTACCTATTTGGAATTTTCATTTCATTCCCGATTTTAACTCTTCTGTCAGATTAGTTGTTAGATCAACAAATATTCTGTGATTTTAAAGTTTCTTTTTTTTTTTTTCTTCAAAGGTTCAGTGGTGTTCTCTCCACACCACTAAACCTTCTAAGCTGACATCGTCTCAGGACTGAATGAATATATATTCAACACGCACATCTTACCTGTGGCTTGTTTTCTGAGCACATTCTTGTTTGATGTTTTAATGCTTTCGGGCCACTTTGGAGTTTAAAACTTTGGGGGCAGCACAGTAATCCGATTTAGATATTTTCAAATGATCTGGATAAGAGAGTTGAGAAAACGAAGAACTTGTGTTGATTTCCTTTAATTTAGAGTTCTGTCAACATTGCACAACTGACCAGATGTTGTAAAACTGGGACCTCCTGAAAAAGAGTCTTTCTGTATTTCACTTTCTCTGTATCTTTTTTTTTTTTTTTCAACTATCAAACCATCTCTGGCAAATAAATAAATAAAGATAAGCTTCTGAACTCTTATGTTTTATGTTTTTCTTTCTATTCCACTCCTTGTGGTCCTTGATTTTGTGTGACTTCCTCTTTTGGCTCCTTCTCCCTCAATCCTCACTGAACTTTCTTTCTGCTCCCCTCATATTCTGACCTAGTGGGTATATGTCTGTTAATTCCCTTTTCTTTCCTGTCCAACTCTTCAATCACATCGCTCATATTACTTCCTACTGGCATCCACCTCTTCTTTCCACCCTCCTCTCTTGTATTTTGTGAGCTCTCCATCTTTCTCCTTCTCACGTTAAGCCAAGTGTCAGTCATCCTTCATAGCGGGACTGTCAGAAAGCTTCAGAGCTCCTCCCAGGCGGTTTTACACCACCTTGGACTAAAGCCTCTGCAGCTTTGACACATTCCTCTTCATCTTAATGTCCACTAAATCAACTGAGGAATGTGCCCCCAACTCACTGACATTCAGTTTAATACTCCCCTCTCCACACAGGCACTGAATGAAACAATGTACGGAAGCACACTTTAAGAAGTTAACTTTTTAAAGGTTAAAATGATATAAAATCTTTTTGTCTTTCTGCCCTTTAGGTTCCCAGGTTGATGTCAAACCATTGATGCAACAGTTTTAGTCCAAAAATTGTCCAAATTTGACTGACTTTCCTAGCCTCAGTGGGAATGCATCAGATACTGAAGCTGCAGATCAAACTGAAGATGTATATTGATAAATGATGCATGAAGAACCATATTTCATCCTGTACAGAATTTTTTTTATGTTTGTGCAGTTTCGCCACATTTAAAAGTTAAAATAAAAAAATATTTTTTTCTTTTTTATAAAAAAGCAATTTAGAGTCTCCCATGTCAAGGTTTGTGGTGAACAACCATATCTTCTTCTGATTATGGTTTCCATAGCTACACCTAGACCTGATTATTGCCTAACCTGTCAGAACAGGAAATCATGTTATTGAAACCAGTCTGACTAAATAAAGTGGGATAAAACGCTTAAAGAAGCTACACACCATGCCCTGATCGAACATTAAAAAAAATCAATAAACAAACCAGTTAACATCCATCGGTGTGGAAAAGGTTAGAGGGTCTTTTTTAGGAACCACAGTTTGACGTTATATACAAATGAAGAAAACATGGAACTGTGGTGATCTGTCCCTGCAGAAGCAGACTCAGAAAGCCTGAGCTTTTACACAACTAAAACTAAAACAGCGTTTCAGAAAAAGAACAGCGTAGCCACAGTCAAACATGGAGGCGGTAGTGTGATAATTTTAGGACTGCTCTGATGTATTTGGTCAGCAGCTCTATATTATAAACTTGTTTGATCTTGAAGGTGAGTGTGAAAAAAAAAAAAAGCATAAACAGAAGGAATATGGAAGGAGGCGCAGTGAGTTTCATAGATCTGCACACGACTGACTGGGAACAGAAACATTGGTGACTTAAACTTTACTAAAGTTAGTGTGAGCAATGGAAAATAATTGTTTTAGCTACTGTGTTTTTAAGGCCCTTTAGTTTACCTCTAGGCAGGTGAAAAGCATCAACTTCACAAAAACCCATTCAATGAAACTTAACTATGTCCTGCTATTTTTCAATGATTTATCAAAAATAATCCAGCATTTATATGACAGGGTGTCCTTAAATTAAGAAAAGCAGAGCTGGTCACCTAAGCCTTCCCTTTTGTTTGAGTGGCTATGTGTCCAGAGTCCCCGATTAGACACGGCCATTACTGAGCCATCCTGGGTGGGCTAGCTAAGGACAAAACTTGGCACTGTCACATGGGTTGTGTTATGAATCCCTGACACGGTGGAACAGAGCCAGTATAAGAGTAAACACAAACACACACCCTTTCTCTCTGTGCTACTTTTATATTAGATCATTCAGCCCTGCTGCTGAGCTCCTAATGACCCTCAGTGTGTCACACAGCTTCCTCAGACCCCACTTTAAAACAATATCTCACCAGCTCAATCCCTACGCTCTTATCTGTCATTGGTTCCATTTGGCCGTCATGCCTCTCAGAGCAGACAGAGGTGGACTATGAAAAATTAAGAGCAGCAGAAAACATGAAACGGTGCATCACTGTGAGAATATTAGAAAATAAAACTAAAAAGTGGTTTATTTTTATATTTGGTTTCCATTTTACAATTATCCATCATTTAAATTTGTCTATCAAATGCAAATCAGAATTATACATAATCTTTCAAATTTTGGAACTTGTGAGTAAAAGAAGCGGAAGATCACGACACACACTGGAGCTCCATTTCTACATCTTTTTATACTTTTAGTGAAAATTCCTGTGAGAATCATTCACATAAACACTTTACAGTTTCTCCTATCACGGAAAGATCCCCCCCCACCCCACCCACTCACTCTTTTACAGTGTGGCTTCTCATGCGCATCCCTCCAGATTCCAAGTTTTGTATAATGAGTGCCTAAAATTTACAAGATTAGCTCTCAGGGAGGAATTTGGTGTGTTTGTGGATTTTTTTTGCACTCACACTTTTATGAGAAGATATTTAAATCTGGCTCACTGCCACTGGGTGTGTGAGCATCACCACTAACCCCCCCCACCTCCTTTTCCTTGAATCTCCCTCTTTTGTTTTCTGCCCTCTTGCTTGCTCTCTGTGTTCCCACAGATTCCACCTCTCTTCCATCTCCCCCCTCCTCTTCAGTGGAGGGATTCAGGCTAATTAAAATGCTTGGTGATCTCCATTGTTTCTGCCTTTTTTTTTTCTCTCTCTATCTCTGATCCAATCACCCACGCCTTCCCAACCACCTGCGCTCATGGTCAGCGGCCCTTTTAACACAGCTGTCAGGATAGATTGGGTGTGGCGACCTGTCTGCTTCAGAGCTGGGTTTAGCCAGGCTGAGTGAAAAAATCTCAGTCCAGCGGCCTACTATCCTTCTGTTGGGTCCTTGGTTCTAATTCCACTCTAATCGTGACCTTCTCAGGTCAAAGGCTAACACCAAGGCTTGGTTACAGGTGGCTGAGCAACAGTCAGGCTGATGGGATTGATTGGATGAGCGAGATGTCGAGGCAATATCAGAGGGAGGAAGATGGATAGACGGATAAAGGAGTAAAACCCTGAAAATTATGTAGAAAAAGCTAAAAAAAATGTTTCATGTATACTTAGTAGGAAGAAAAAAAAAACATAAAATAAAAACAGAATAGGGAATAAAAACCTTATTTCCTATTGGGGCTTTTTATTGTAGAATACTTTATTAATATAATTTCTATTGTGCTGTTGCATATTTATTTAAATATTTTCGCAACTGCATGTTTAAAAAAGATGTATCTAGGTTTCTTTTTATTTTTGATTTGATCCTAATGTAATTATGCATATTTGTATTACGCCCCTTTTACCCTGACGACCTGAAACTAAATCTGGTACATGACCATGACCTTCATGACCAAAACCGTATTGTGGTGGAAAAGGAAGCTGCACAACATGCAATACAATAACCCCATGATCAAGCACAGTGGTGGAAGCATCATGCTATGGGGATGATTTTCTTCAGCTATGCACCATACACTAACTATTTGAAATGTGTATAATTGTTTTTTGTTTCTTGTCTTTATTCCCACTAAAAAAGGTCTCTGGTTAAAAAAAAACAATTAAAAAAAACATTTCAGTATTTGGTGATGCTCCCTCTTCAGCCATAAAGGTGTTTCTGTGACTCTTGTTAAAGTTACCAAAGAATTTAAGCTGGGAATAAGATATAATCACTTATTTACTTTAAACTTTTTTTTTCCCACTTCCTGTTAAGGTCAAGCCAGCTCACCCCCATTGAGGCACATAAAAGAAATTAAAGACGAGAAATGGAGAGGAAAAAAAAGACAAAGAATGAAAGCTACAAAAACCAAGTGGATGAGATATCATCTGTTTGTTATTCTGCTTTTTTTTCCCAAGCTTGTTATCGTTCCTCATTTCCTGCTGGACGACAAGTAAATAATTCACATGTATACATGTACCAACACTGAGACCGGGCCTCCCCATCTTGCCTGAGTTTTGGCCTCAGTTTCAAAGCTGTTTCCCAGTAAGCCAAGCCTCCGAACAACGTGTAGAGAAAACAAATCGAAGACAGAAATATCTTTCGACAATCTGCATCACTGAGTCAAACACGCACGCATACAAAAAGAGTCAGAAGCAGTTTTCAGAGTAAGATATTCCATCATGCACATGATTCT